AGGTTTTTTATTTCTTTTTTTTTTTTTTTTTTTTTTTTTGTGGTACACACATGGGACTCAAAATCTTTAATATCACATAAAAATAGCACCATTACCACTTTTCAAAAATAAAATATAAGCGTTAATTGATTATTCAGACATTTCACTCATCTCAAAACGAATCCACGAGTTTCAAAATCCATAATGACTAACTCTCAGGATACCCTCACCCTATCTTCCCCTGAATTGATACCCAATTGTTCAAAAGACACGACCAGGAAGATCTGTCCTAGACTCAAAATCTCCAAGTTCTTACCTCTTTTGAGACACGTATCAGAATTCAAATAATGCAGCTTTCAAACAGAAAGTTCAATTCATCGGTGCTCCTCTTACACAAAGATCAACAAAGAAGAACGGCGAGGAAGTAAAGACGAGATAAAAGTAGAGTAACCGAGCCTGAGGAGAAGATTTTGATGGTAAAAGCAGACTGAAAAAGCGGTAAATGATTTTTAGGTTTGAATCCAACCTTAGTTCTTCTCTGTCGTCGACAGTAAACGACGAATCTATGGTCCATAGCCGGAAGTAGATGGCGGTACCGAATAAAAGAGCGCCGACGAACCCCAAAATTAGGGTTCTTCGCCGTAAACCCATCACCGAGTTGGATCGTCTGCCCATCTCGGCATCTGACGCTCTTAATGCTACTGAAAAAAGGCTCAGAAGGATCAGAAAAGAGGAATTTCACCGGTCTTCGGTGTCAGTAAAAAAATTTACTATTAGATAGCGCTAATTTTTTCGTACAGTTGTGTGTCACCGGTTAAAGCACTATTTGTGAACTCTTTGTGGTCAATGTGACTCTTAGAAGAATCAGTCAATAATAAGGCGTCACGTAATTGGGTGGAAGTAAATATCACAAATAAAAAATCTCAACAATAATGAGGGTGTCACGTGATTGGGTGGAAGGAAATATCACAGACAAAAAATCTCAAATCGTCAAAGCCAAAAACAGTATTTAAGTCTTGGGCTACCAAACACCCTGAATAACTCTTTTGAGAGATAACATGTTGCTTATTAGTGAAACTTTAATAATAACATGATGCTGAAAAATTTAGGATAATTATTACAATATTAAAATCAGATAGCAGCTAAATTTATCACCGCACCTAATCAGAAATAATGAAAAAAAATAGATTTCAACGGTAGTTTTTTGAAAAATTTATCAATATATAGTTTAACAAAGCAGATAAAATTACAATGTAATGTCGCATCGCTATCACACGGTAGCCTCAAATGGGAGAAATTTTTTCATAAGAAGTACGTACTCAACTCTTTGTGGAGATTCCAATAATATGTCTCCATGTGTGTTATATTGGGTCCACCTAAAAAAAATTAAAGTGGAATTGCAAAAGTTATTGTAGTGGAACCGCAAAGGTTATTTGTGAGGGTTATTGAGGGGTTATTGTGGCATTAACTCCAATAACGTCACAATAACCTCTCATAATCCCCCAATAATATTCACACTTTCACTCTAATAACCCTCCAATACCTTCCACGATTCTATTTCAATAGTCTTGCATTAACCCCTGCAATAACCCCCACAATAACCTCCCAATAGCCCCTCAATAATCTCCATGATTTTACGTCAATAACCACACAATAACCTCCACGTGGTAGCATATTAAAATTTTCTTTTTACATGCCAAAAAATGTTAATTTAATTTAATACAATATCGCATTTAAAAATTTATCATGTTAGAATGTTCCAAATTAAATTTGACTTTTTGAATATAATTGAACAAATTAATTCTTTGGATGTTTGATTGTTTGAGAATGCAGGTTTATTTTAAACGTCATTGACTTGACGTTCAAATCTTCTGAAAGGAATAAAGCAATTGGGATCAATCCATTTAACAAAAAATTTATGGAGCATTTACGTACATATGAGACAATTCTTATATATTTACATATCTAACACCTAACATTTTATATTAGCATAAATAACATTCAAATTTTAATCATCATCACTAACTTCTTAAAATTGAAATGCGGCATAGATTTTTAATATGAAAATGTTATAAATATAAATACAAAATTTAGGTATTATATATGTAAATATATAAGAATTGTTGGGCTTTATACGCAAACATCATATCACGATTATTTTCAAATTACTTTATTTATTCACAGGAATCAGATTCACAAATCAAATTGGCTGAACCAGTTTGGTCCTACCAGTTGAAATGGTTGAATTAAGTCCACCAGCCAAAGTGGATAAATGACTCGAATATGGTAAGAAATATTTGTCCGATCAACATGTAATGCGTCGTCTGATTTTCGAGATCAAGCTTCTTGCCTAAACTTAAAGGACGGCCATCAAAACACTGATATCAGACTACGCGTCGGGTGCAAATATTGTCTATATTAAAACCTTCCCATCAACGGTGCCAGAGAGAGCTTGTCTGCAAAGCTAGAAAGTATAAAAGAAAAAAAAAAAACGGAAGCAAAAGAGAAGACTCTCACATTCCAGGAGGATTCTCTTTCACCCTATTGGAAACCTCTCTATAAACTTTACTTTTCATATTTTATAAGTTTTTAAATTTTATTTTTTATATTTACACCATCAAAATCTTTCATATCACAGAAAAATATCATTATTTTTACTTTAAAAAATTGAAAAACACGTCTTCATGCATATGATGAGTTGCATATGTGAATACATCAGAGGTATATGTACGTCTATCTTTCAAAAATAAATAAAGAAATTATAGATTTGACATAATACTTAAAAAATCATCTTAAATACATATTCATATTCATTTGTCATGTTCAAAAATGTTAAAAAATCTCTTATCCAAACATTCTAAGGCTCTAGAGCATAAGATATTTGAATTTGTTTCTTTAAATAGCTATCCATCCCTCTCTTATCTTATTTTCACCATGTTGGAGAGGGTGGTGTGAATTAGTAGCTAAAATGTAAATTAGGGTTTCACATTACGTGTTATGAACTTCATTCTTCAACCACATGCCATAATAAAAGCATTGGGAAACTTACATAAATACCTCACAATTCTCATGCATTTAAATATATAGCACCTAAAGTTTAGTATTTAGATTTGTAACACTTTGGTGTGATGGACAATGTGTATTTCACTTTTAAAATTAATAACAGTGATATTTGTATATTATTTTAAGTCCATGAGTATTTTGTATATAAATATGACATTGTAGGTGTGTGATATATAAATACATAAGAATTGTGTCGTTTATATGTATTTTTATTTCTTATGCCATTACTTCATTTTTCTACCATCATTCATTATAATTGTTTTTTCTTATATATATAATGACAACTCAAACCTACCAAATTCCTAATTATATAGACATAATTTTAACTTATTATAGAAAAGACCTCAGCATATTAATTTTTTTTACTTATGTTGAGCCTCACTCTGGGTATGTTTAGGGAAGCTGCAGCTTATTGAATAATCTGTCGATAAGCTGATTAAAAATAATCTGTTGATAAGCTAGGTGCGGTGGCTATTAGAAATTTTTATTTTCTTGAAAAAGTCAGACCGTTGCTAGAAAGCTGTCACCGCAAGCTGCTTTCAGCGTTTTCAAAACGCATAAGCTGCCAAAAACAGTCCAAGTCCGTTTTCAAAACGCCACTGCACCAAATAAGCTGCCCCAAACAGACCGTGAGAGCGAGAGAGGAAGATTGCGGAATCGTTATCGATGTGGAGGAGAATGAGAACCAATGAGAACGACGATTGTGGGATCATTACCGATGTCTCTTCCACAGCAGAAGGTGAAGGGCTTTTGCAGCCGAAGCTGGAGGGATTGGCAAGGTAAGTATCTGCGTAGAAAAACGAGTTGAGAGTTGCAGGGGCTGCTCCTCTAGATTCTTTTCTTACTGGTTCTATTATGGAGAAGGATATATTGGTGATGGTGAGATTATGGTTTAATAGGCAAGTGAATCATTATTTTTTAAATAGGGAATTTAAGGTAACAAGGCACTTCCAATAGTTATACATATTTTAAGAAAGTCATAATAAGAGGTTAAAGAAAACTATATTTTCTTTTTGTTATGATTGGAGCTTGAAGCAAAATTGTTTTATAGTATACTTCTAAGAGAGTTGAGAGTGTTAATCGAGTCAATAGAGGGATGGAGCTCACCAAATGCAAAAATTTTTGTGATGTTACTAGTTGTGTGCCCCAATGTTGGTTAAGGCATTTTCTTTTATTCATCATCGTCGAATCATTTATATTTGTCCAATCTTTAGATCGTCCATCTCTCCATCGGTGTCAGATCACCACCATCTGACAATCGTCATTAGGTTGTTGTTGCTTGTCCACCATAGTCAAAACATTGCCATTCGAATATCATTTAAGCTAATAATGAATTCCAACAAATTCATCATTATTTTGAACATATTTTTAAACTTTAAAATAAATTCATTATTATTTTGAATTTCTACTTCATAATTATTAAAAAAATGGGTGTCACAGTTCTGTTACAAACAAATTTACTAAACAGAGTCAGAACAATCAAGTTTTCAAAAACAGCTGTTTTCACACAGCTGCAACAAACAGACAACCAACTTCCCCGCAGCAGCTTCCTGAGGCAGCGCAGCTACAGCTGTGGCATGAAAAGCTGAGAAGCTACAACTGCGTCAAACAGAGCCTAAATCATTCTTCTTATAAAAAAGTTACACCACCACCCACCTCACATCCAATAAAACGTTGCTCATGAAAAACCAAAGTCATCCATATATATATATATATCATTGTATGTATTTACATTTTTAACTCCTAAACTTCATATTTTACATTTAAATCACCAAAATCTTTCAGATCATATAAATACCACCACTTCAACTTTTAAAAAGCAAAGTATATCTTGTGATGCATAGGTAAGGTGGTATGTGTAATATGAAGTTTGTGTTAGATATGTAAATACATGGGAATCGAGTGATACATATATGTAAACCTTCTTATATATATAAGTACAAAACAATACACGGGAATTGAGTGATATATATGTAAATACATAAGAATTGAGTGATATACATGTGAATACATGGCATGTGTGCAAATTTTCTTACATATAACTAAATATAAAGATCAAATACTTGCCTTTGATGAAAGGAGTTTCATCATTAAGTAAAACTGGATGTTTGGGGCAGTTTTGGGCTGAGGCCATCTACAATCATCAGGCAAAGTGATGATCTTAAAGCCCTCGGATTTGTATAATCTTACAGCAGCTGTATTATTCACATCACAATGTAAGGCAATGGAGCGGCAGCCCCAGCTGAGGGCTCTGCCTTCTGCCTTCGCCAGCAGAAGCTTCGCAATCCCCTTTCTCCTATCCGCCTTCCTCACGGCAACATTTGATATGTACGCTATTCCAGTTCTGCACGAATTTCAAAGCATCTGATTAGGGTTATCAAGAGCAGGGATAAATTTCTATGTTTTTTAGGGTGATAAATTAGGTTTGGCAAGCATTTCCATAATAATTAATGAATTATGAGAAAAATAATAGAAGCAGACCACTCAATTCCTCAATTAAATGGAAGATTTACATGCATACCACTCAATTCCTATGTATTTACATATCTAACGCCTAAATTTAATTTTTACGTGCATGCCACCTTCCCTATGCATGAAAAGGTTTAATTTCACATTTTAAGAGTTAAATGATGATGTGATATGAAAGATTTGGGCAATAGAAGTGTAAAAATTGGAGTTCAAGTGTTAGATATGTAAATACATAAGAATGGAATGGTTGGTATGTATTTCACATCTAATTCTTTTGTATTTACATATCCAACACCTAAACTCTCATTTTTTACACGCATGCGGCATTCCCCATGCATGCAAAAGCATATTTCACTTTTTAAAATCTAAAATGGTGTAAAAATAGAAGTTTGGCTGTTAGATATGTAACTATGTAAGAATTGTGTGGTATGTACGTACTCCATTAATACTGACCTTCTTTGCCTGAGAGGACCTTTTCTAGGTAGATAATCTGCCAGAGTATCCACAGTGAGAATTCCAGCTACAGACTCCCTGCTGATATTAAATTTCCCATCAAGCCCCCCAATTTTCAAATATTTACTTCCAATGTACAAGTTATCATTTCGAGTTGCACCGGTAACGGCCACAAGACAGGTCCCCATACAACCCGGTGGTATCGAGAGGCCAGAAAGCAGCGCTACAAATCTCTCTATCCGTAGAACCAAATCTATGGGAAAAGTATAATTTGGGAAAAATGAGCTACAATGTGTATCGGCGACTTCCCAACAATCTTCAATTCGAGCATCTCTAACGACAATTTCGGGGCAGATTGAAGGGAACAAGTCGACAGCTTGGCTAGCTCTGCAAGTTCCTATAGAAGAAATTTGGTGATTTAAATGAGAAGGGTGAAATTGTAAGCAAAAAATGCAGCCACTTTAGGCATTTAATTTTTAAGGCATTTGCATACGTACCAGTCCACTCTTATGTATTTGCAAATCTAACACATAAAATTTATTTTTTATTTTTTTTTTACTTTTATACCAACCAATTCTTTCATACCATGTCGAAAATACGATCATTTTAACTTTTAAAAAGTGAAATACATTTTTTCAAGAGGGTGGCATGTACGTAAAAATTGAAGTTTAGGTGCTAGATATGTAAATACATAAGAATTGAGTTGTATGTATGTAAATCTTCCATAATTTTTTGTAAAGCTCCTCTAAATGGACAGAAATAAAATTTCCATGGAGTTGTAGAACATCTAAAAATTGGACTCCCACAGTAAAATGATTTTGCACAAACGCTTGATGGGATCCATTGAAAACCTGATGACTAATTTCAGGAGATGCTTGATAAAGATATGATGAAATGTTTAGTGAGGAGATGATGTACTTATCGTGTGCTGATCAATAGTTACTATAAATTCTCTATTTTTATCAAGGATGCTCTTTTAAAATTTTAATAATTAACCATAGAATGATTGATTAGTGAACATAAATTGAAAAGATAAACTTTCAAATTCAAAAACAAAAATAGGGGTTTGCGAAGGAAAAGAGATAACTTAGTGAAGGTAATCAATTAAATTACCAAAATTCACTCTAAAAATTGTCCAACATATCCAATGGAATATTCCTTTAATTTAAGCTATGGTTATCATAATTCCATGTTTTAAACATTAAGGGTGTGTTTGGGAGGGCTTTTTGCCTGTTTTTCGTTTTGAAAAGCAGCGAAGTGTCATTTGGAAACCAGCTTTTCACCTGCTTTTACCCGCGGCCCATTTTCAGAATGGCGAAATGGCGAACGCCGACGCTAGGCTCCATTTTACGGTTCTAATCGCGTTCCAGGTGAGAAAAAACTATCCTACCCGTCTACAATTCGTTAAATCCCATCATTTATCTCCAATAATACCCTCGCACCCTTCTCCCTCCATTCGAGCTTCATTGTGGGTGTTAGGGCAAATTTACAATCCTCTTCTATTCTCCCCTATGTTCGTCTTCACTGTTGTCGCCTCTCTCAGCCCCTCTTTGTATGTATTAATCCTCACCTCATTTCTCAATTGTCCTCTGTGGTGGTGGTTTGTTGCTTTCCGTTTTACTTATGTGATTTGTCTATTCTGCTTCTTGAATTTCTTCTGTTGGTGGTTTGGTGCTTGTCGTTTGAACTTGTAAGTGGTGGTGTCGATGGGGCTTCCCGATAATCATTTGTAGTGATGGTATGTTACTTTTTGTTTTACCTATTTAATTTCCCTATTATGCCTCTCAATTTTTCTCTCTGATGGTGGCCTGGTGCTTGTAGTTTGAACTTGTTAGTGGTGGTGCGATGGGATTTCCCGGTTATCCTTTGTGGTGGTGGTTTGTTGCTTTTTTTTTACCTATTTGATTTGTCTATTTTGTGGTGGTGCTGGTTTGGTGCTTGTCGTTTGAATTTAAAGTGATTGGTCCTTGGGGCTTTACAGTTGTCATTTGTGGTGGTGGTCTATTGTTTTTCATTTTACTTATATGACTATGCAATTGCGGAATCTTGATTTACCTCTCAGGTGGTGATTAGGTGCTTGTCGTTTCAAATGTGAAGTGATTGTGTCGTTGAGGCTTCTTGGTGGTCCTTGTCTTTCGTTTTACAAATGTGAATTATTTTTGGGATTGTGCCGTTGAGGCTTCTTGGTGGTCCTCTATGGTGGTGATTTATTGTCTTTCGTTTTACAAATGTGAATTATTTTTGGGCTTCTCGGTTTTCCTCTCTATTGGTGGTTTGGTGCTTGTCGTTTGAACTGTGGAGTATTGTTTAAAGGGGAGCTTACATGCATATCACACAATTCTTATGCATTTACATATCCAGCATCTAAAATTTGAAATTTGCTTGCTTAAAACTGAGTAATTCACTTGTAAAAAAAATTGATATCAACGACATTATTTATGTGATATCAAATATTTGAGTGTCGAATTATGTGATGTAAAAGATTTGAGTGTCATTGGGGCTTCTCGGTTTTCCTCTCTAGCGGTTTGTTACTTCGAGAAGTCCCAATTGTATAATCACATTGGTAAAACGAGAAGTAACAAACCGCTTGTGATGGTGGTTTGGTACTTCTCATTTCATCACAGTAGTTGTGCCTTAAGATTTCTCGATTTTCATCTGTGTTGTGGGTGTGATTTTGGCTTTGGTTATGGCAGTGAACTTTATTTGTGAAACACCAAGGCACAACCACATTATACATATCTTGCAAGTAAAGTTCCTAACACGTCTTGTGCAACACCAAAAGATGGAGTGATACGTTTGATAGATATGGATTTACATAAATTGTGGTAAAAAAATGTAAGTTTTTTTGGTTTGGTGGTCTCTCTTGTCTGTTGGCTGTGCATGTGGGTGTGATTTGGTGATCTTTATTAGTTGTTGGTTGTGGGTGTGGTTAGAGTTTTGCAATGTTGGCTGCTTGTAGCAGTTGACTCGGCTTTTTGTTGTGGAATTGCATTGATGCTTTTGAAGTGCGTAGTTTCAATGTCTTTGACTTTCAAATGTCATGTACAATGATGAAAGAAAAAATAATAGCTCAACCGATCACTAATTGTCACTTAAGTAATTGTCTCCACATGTTTGCCACAGATATTATCCGGGCTTAAAGCACACATCACACTATTCACTACGGATACTACCTGGTCTTAGATCGCACGTGTCACTGTTAAACACAGATAGTAGCCGGTCTTAAAGTCAGTATGATATAATTGATGATCCTAAGTGGATCATCCTTTGAAAAATTAATCTCGCTGAGTTCTAATTCAATATGTTGTTTTTTTTAGTTTTTATAATTATTTTTTTAATTGTAGGATAAATTATAATTTTTCCTCCAAATGTTTTACTACATGATATATCAGATGAGTAAACAAAAGAAATATGGGATATCGAACATTTGGGAGAGGGAGACAAATATAATATTTTGTGATTTATGTTTTAAATAGATAGAAATTGACAATATACCAACTACACGCTTCAATAAAAAAAAATGGAAAAACATGACAAAAAAACTTCATAAAAAACAGTAAAATTGTACAGCAAAACTCAGTTGAAATTCAAATGGGATCAACTGAAATATATATATATATATATATATATATATATTTGTGGAACGAGTTAAAAAGTGTGGCAACTGGATTAGGATGTGACCCAATTAAGAAAACAGTTGATGCATCATAGAAGTGGTGGAGAAAAAAATTCAATAAGTAGACAATTTTATATTAAACTAGTATTTTATCAATTGTAGGCCCTGCCCCACGCCAAAAATTTTAGAAGTTCTGATATATATACCCTAAGTTGAAGGAAAAACTTGATACTATGTTCATCTGTATTGTGGCTACAAGCTCCAATGTTTGAGCAACAACACAGACCTTTCCCTAGAATTTGGATGAGCCAGAATTTGTTCATTCTAATGAAGTCCAAGATGAAGTGCCACAGAAGAGAGGACAAGGTGAACCAAGTCATTCCGAAAGCCTCACACCCTCCACCTAGAAGCTTAAAAAGAAAATAAATATTTATATGGACTCTTTTACTGAGTTATTTGAGAATATGTTCCTATATTTACTCTCTATAAAACTTATAAATGATCGAACGAAGCAGGAGGCTTTCATAACGATAGTGTCATAACAGAGAATTCCTAACACCGCTATTTTTTAGACAATTAGTCTAGTTTTTCTTTTTTATTACTGTTTCAGATTGTGGTGTGTAATAATTTATACTTTTATGTCGAATAACATCTTATGTCATGTTCATGTGACATTTCAACATTTATGTCTTGCGCTAGTTATAATACTTAATTATGAGCCATTTCAGCTTTTATGTTCATTTCTAGCATAGATTCTTTTTTATAGATATTCTAACATGCATAAAATAATCAGATTTATTCATCAGATGAAAAGAAAATTATAGAGACAGTGTAACAAGTAACAATTATGACTACAATTGAATGTCTAATTAATGAGTACTATACGACAAATTTATGCAAGACATCATATGTGTCATCATCATCTATGGGTCATTGTATGTCTTATGCTTGTGTCATGTTCATGTGATATTTCAACATGTATGTGTTGCGTTAGTTGTAATACTTAATTATGAGTAATTTCAGCATTTATGTTTACTTCTAGCAAAACTTATTTTTTATATATATTTAACATGCATAAAATAGTCAGATGGACTCATCAAATGAAGAAAAAAATTATAGAGATAATGTAACAAGCAACAATTATGAGTACAATTATATACTTTATTAATTACTATAAGACAAATTTACGCAAGATCATATGTGCCATCATCATATGTGGTTCATCGTATGTCTTATGCCGAATAATATTTCGAGCCATGTTCATGAGACATTTTAGCATATATGTGTTGCGCTAGTTGTAATACTTAATTATCAGTAATTTCATCATTTATGTTCAGTTCTAGCTTAGCTTATTATTTTTATATATTATAACATGCATAGAATAGTCAGATGGACTCTTCAGATGAAAAGAAATTTAAAGAGATAGTATAGCAAGCAACAATTCTGACTACAATTGTATATTTTATTTAATGAGTAGTGCAGGAAAAATTTAAGCAATACAACATATGTGTCATCACCATCTGTAGATGACAAGTGGGTTGATGAGCTGCTCCAAGCTCATTCAATCATAATTTAAAATATATTTCGGATGTCGTGAATAATTTGTTATGATTTATTATCAATTGCAGAATAATTATTATTTACATTGATCGTTATGATTTACACCCAAAGAGTGCTGGTCTTCATATTATATATTACATCAAATAAATAGTTCATTTGTGTTGCTTCCAAGCAATTCTAGCAATCAACGGAGACAATTAGCAGATATTTTGATATTTGCATTAACTCTATGTTAACATTATCAAACAACATTGTAAATCCATAAATACTGCTTTTGTGCATATGCCGAAAGAAATCGATAATGATACGAGATACATGTCATTTGTCAAAGTATTGATATTTCAATTTATTTTTGCATTAGTGTTTTAAAATAAAACATTGTCTAATGAAATTTTCAAATAGGATTGTATTAGAGCAATTAACGGCGCACATGCGATGCACGTATTGATAACGATGACAAGATTACATATGTCAGACATTGTGAAGCTTCTACACAGAGTATCTTAGAACTTTTTGATTTCAATATGTGTTTTACATTTTTAATGGTCAGATGGGAAGAGAGTGCTCATTATAGTCGAATATTCAAATTTACAACTCGGCGTCGTGAATACAAATTTTCAATCTCCACCAAGTTAGTACATTCTTGATCGTATATGAAGCAGTTGATTTGAGGCTATGTAGTAATGATATTATTATTCAAGGTATTACATCGTTGATTCAGGATATTCATTGCAACGAGAATTCTTAAAGCCCTTACCCGACACGAGATATCATCTTCCTGATTTTGAGTGCAGTAGTCAAGTGATTAGAGGGAATAAATTATTCAACAAAAGACACTCGTCATTACGAAATGTTAATGAGAGAGCATTCGGCACATAGAACAAGAAATGGATCATACTCCGAGATATGCTGACATATTTCTTCAAAAAAATAGATAAAGATAGTTGTTGCAACTGTAACACTACATAGTTTTATACAAAATGCATTCATCTCAAGATGATATTAATTTCAGAGTCTTAGATGAAGATCCAACATACACACCTATAGAAGCATTTGAACATTAGTTCGGACAATCATTGCCCGGTGAAGACTTTGAAATGAATGACCTCAACACATCCGAAGGGGGGGAGTTCAAGAGATGATCCAATCAAGAGAAGATATTACATATGTTTAGTTGAACTCATCGAGTGTATTTATGTTGCGCTTTATAACGTCTTCTTGTAGATGTTCAATATTTCAAATGTATCGAAGATTTGTTGATATCTACTTTATATATTTATGTGACATTTTGTATTGAGGATTTGTTAATGTCTATTTTCCTTTTTTTTTTAATTGTGAAATCAAAGATTTATTTTATTGTTGTATTACATATCTAGCCTGATTTGCCGATTAAAACCATAATGCATTATAATCTCAAATAAAATTGAGTTCAAAGTCATCAACTATTTAAAGAGCTATGTGTTGTCATTTTAGTACGCAGTGTTATGATTACACATCAAAAAGAGAAGGTAGTTATAGGATGATATTTTATTGTTGTTTCAGAAATAGGACACGTGAAGATTGCAGATATTTTCATTGGGTTGATGATATAGATGAGTTCAATCCGAGAAGTGATCAAATGAGGAGAGATGTTGTGGACAAAAAATTATTTTGATGACTTGATCAACTAGACATGAAGGCGAATGTTATTATAGTCTTATTGTTTATTTTTATTGTTCTAATTATTGTGGTTTAAGCATGAAATGATGTTTTACAATTAATATATTGGAGAAATTTGGACTCATAACTTTTTTCCTTTATTGTTGGAGTTATTTTTTTTATTATGTAATAGATATTTTAAAAATTGCAGTCACTCAATTAATATATATATATATAAGGGTATAATTGTCTTTTTCATCAGAAACGGGTGTAGCAAAGCAGATTATCCAAACAAACATTTGTTATTTCAACATTAATTTTCTGACAGCACCTGTTAAGCTGCTTATCAGCTTCACAGCTACTTCATGGAAAAGCAGCAGTTGTCCCAAACACACCCTAAGATAATGTCTTGTTCATCATCATAATTTATAGTTATAAACATTCTGATGCTTTAAAAGCTACAAATAGTCCTTCACGGAACCTCAGATTATAAGACTTAAAATTGGGGAAAAAGTTTTAAATTTTCTCCTAAAATTCTGCTTGTATTCCAGTCTTGTCAATTGAAAGTATACAGGAATTAAAAAATAGACATATAGTATAGACATACAGATAGAATCGTCCGGTAAGGTCCAGAATACAAAAAAATGACAAAAAGCAGCAGATTATAATTTATAGTTATAACAGCACCTGTTAAGCTGCTTATCAGCTTCACAGCTACTTCATGAAAAAGCAGCTGTCGCCCCAAATACACCCTAAGATAATGCCATATTCATCATCATAATTTAGGCCCCGTTTGGGGCAGCTTATAAGTGCGGGGCGGCG